ACACGAGGCTATATATATATGCAGGGGCACTCAGTGAACTGAAGTAAATTCTACCACCGCCAGACTATGCCCAAACGCAGGCCAGCTGTACATATGACGCATACCGCTAAAGGAAAATAAATGCATGGGAGGTGCACTCTAATATTTGTCCCTGAAATGCGACACTTTTACCAAAGGAGGCATATATCGATCAGTTTTCGAGCGCATTAATGAACAGGATTTGTCACAAAAGACATCGACTTTTCCTTTTATCCTGCATCGCAACAACCATCCATCCGCATCAGCTAATTGCCAAATGGAATGTTCTACCTTGGGGACATATTTCAATAAACTTGCTCTGGTGAAACCTAGGGACTAGTTATGGCCATTTATGAGGAGGTATGGCGTAAAAATGAGCCTTTGCCATTGGCACAGCGGACAGCGCAAGCCATCTAGTGTGAAATGCATTGATAGAAGTTCGAAGACGTGCGTTAGAGGATTATGGGTTATATCGCTAGTATATACGTGCTCTGCAAACATATTTGTAACGAGCTGAGCATCAAAATAAGCAATGATTCGGAAGGTCAGTGCTCCTCGAAAAAGATGCTGCTAAACGTCACGGGGAGTAAATAAGAGTCACGACATGACATTTTGTTGAATTGCGTGGCAATGCTTCACGTGTGCAAATTTGTCCCGAACTAATGTTTCAAGCTCTCATACCACTCATTGCACAACAATTTGGCCTATTAGTGTGCTGAGAACAATATGTGACACGTTTCTCGAGAAAAGCAGAGCAAGCCAAAAGCATTACATTCATAGCGGTTAACAGGGAGTTCAATGGCTGTTTCTCGTCGGAGCGGCCGCTTCAAATCGAAATTCTGAGCTGTTAACAATCATGGCCAAACAGCTGTTTCTGCTTATGCGGTCTTAGTATAACCGATCGATTCGGACGCGGCTCATTTATGACTGAGAAGCCCAACAAAATGGCATGCTGCCTTCAAGGTTCGAATTAGTTATGGCAAATGAGTGAATGAGACAAAAAAGGGATTGCATGAGGGCACTAACCTGGGAGTAAACACAGTGAACGCACCCCACCAGCTGTTGGTGAGTAAAGCAGTGTGCTGGCTCAAGGTGGTGTAGAAACGCTCAAAGGTTGTTGCTGACACGGTGATTTCTGAACCAAACGTGTTTAGAGAGGGCGTTTGCTTAGCATGGAAGACAGTCAACACATTTTGTTTACATAAACTAAACAAGACATAAACAATACCCTGATGACATTCCGGAAGTTGTCTAGACAAAAACACTCATGCACAGTAAAGTCACGGTTTGCTTTAGTGACGAGTTTTCTGGCACGGCTGCAGGGTTATTGCCAAGCACCTGGCATGCATGGACACCGAGTTAAATAAACCCGAGCCAATTGCCTTAAGAACTTCACACGCGCTTAGCTGTACCAAACGAGGCAGCTTCGACAGAGCACGCGCTAACAAGCCAGTTGGCGGCGAGTTACAAACACACCGATTACAATTACATTACATCTACGACCGAAGCCCGGAATACTGCTGGCATGAGGACACGGCCTTGGGATCGTAGACAAAACAAAGTTGGACGATTATTCTTATCTCCATATTTGGCATTACAACGACGGTAGCTCGACTGACGGAAAAACGCGGGATAAATGTTATCAGTACCAACAATCTGAACAGGTCTAACATATGTTTATGACGCAAAGATAACAATACAAACAAACGGCCTTTGTTTGCATCCGTGAGAACCGTCAGCTGCTAGATTAAATGGTGCGCGATGGAGCATACCGAGATGTATGGCTTGAATTAATTCAAAGCGACACAATTTGGAGATGCCATCTTATCGACAACCATGCATGCAAAATGTCTGCATGTTTCATGTATGGCCGGTGCTAATACACTTCAACAACGTAAATGACGTAAAATGACCTTCAAATGATGACAAACAAAGCGCCCCAACCAATTACCCATGAAGCGGATGACCCAGCATCGCGCACATGAACCAGTCTGGAGAACCAGATCGCAGGCACAAATGACCAAAGGCATATTCCTGAGGACGTTAATCCTCTGTCTTTTGCAAAGTGTGCACCAAAGGCCCGTGAACCAATTGCAACGGCCGTTTCTTTTTTAAAAGCGCGTGTCCTTTTACACAGATTCGATGGGTTCTGCTTGGCTCCCAATGGACAGGTGGTCCATGATGCTTTATGGTTCATGGTGGTCAACTGCCACATCGAACACTCGCTCCTTTCCACGGCTCTTGGTACTTCCGAGTCTTTGAACCCTTGCCTCACGGGGATTTTTTTCACCTTCGCTCCATACGGGGGGTTCTATGTGACCTAACATCTCAAAACTGCGCCAGCTAGAATGACGAAGAAAACGGCATTAGAAAGCCCGTCGAACGGGATTAGATAGATGTGACTAAACAACGTTGAATGTGACCCCAGAGAGGTTAAATCAGGTCATAAGGGTCATGTCGGTGTTTGTATTATCCCGCTATCTCAATAATGAACCGTGCCACATCAGTGCAGAAGACTGCGTTGAATAGCTCTGGGGAAAAAATAGCACATGGGTGGAAGCAAACATTGACATCTGCGACATTCGATGTCATGTCAGGTCAGGTCAGAGGTGCGTTGGATTGATCAGCTCAGCTATATCAAGAACAAAGCAATCAACATAAATGAGAGAGAAAAAATGCTAGAAAGGTTTTCCAAAGCTTTAAGACCAGTGCTCATGAGGTTTAATCAAATAACAATGAAACTTACAATATAGTCGTAAAGGTCACAGTTTGACCTAGCATGACCTAGGATGATTTGACTTCGCAAAAGTGGCTAGACCGCTTCTAAATGATGAAGATAGCAAAACTAGTCTAGAAAATCTGGGTGAGTGCCTTTCCTCGGAAGATAAGCGTACTCTTTCAGTTTTGAGCAGTATGGTACCGACACGTCCACGAGGAAACTATCCTAAATTGAGCTCTAAGACCAGAAACTTCAAACTTTCACAGTTTGTGTAGAAATCATGTCAACTCAGCTGCCCAAAATTCCCACATCTTGCTTCAACAATTCAGACGTTATTTTGGAAGAACGTTGGCGCCTTCGAAGCTTCACCTCCCGGAAGGCCAGAGTTCACTTGTACCTGACTGTGGCATCAGTGATGATTTGCTCAGAGCACAAGCAGCGGTGTCAAAGCAGTGCCAAGGACAAGAAATAAAAGGGTGATGGCCAAAAACGTAGCAAGGACTCATCATCGTAAGCCTTGTAATGGCATGCTCCTGCTCTTGAGGTTTATCATCAGTAACAGCTACATAGCACGCTAAGGTTAGGTCGAACGACAGAATGTTACAGAGCCAAGACCTGCTGACATCCATATTTGTCATGGAATAGCTTCCGAAATTTATGCCGACTGCAACGCTTTAAAAGCCAATAAATCGGCGTCCACAACATAAAATACCAATGTCCAATGATTTCACAGCGACACGATGTGTGTTTATCGAGCAATATCATAGATGTTATGGCCCTTAAAGGACCTAATGAGCCTTGCCTGCCAAAGATAACCCTGAATTGACGGCAATAAGAGTGACAGCGCAAAGAAAGCTAAGGGCAGTTAGCAGTGACGTGGCAGTGAAAGCAGATGACCTGTTGTGCAGATCTCTCGTACTGACGCTATAAATCTCTCACAAATCGTGTCCCGCGGCTTCTTGCCATCAAAGCCTGTCCTGCCTGCCAGTCCAATCATCACTGAACGCACGGCAAGTTAAGCCCCAACTCGGGAAGCAGTATGCAGTAGTTAACTCATTCCGGTTCATATCTTAATGTTCCCACCGTGCACCGCCGTGGAAAAAGCTGGCGGCCAATCAACGCGGCCTTGAGCCGGGCACGTCCGAAGATAGACGGCGTGGGAGTGAACCCAATACGTGTGACCAACGCATCGGCGTCTGCGGGCCAGCCCGATACGCGTCAGTCGCGATAGGGCGGTGCACAGTCGAGAGTGCAACGCGGCCCCCGTCGGCGGTGACTCTGCGCCGACGACGGTGCTATCGCGTTGCCGTCCGCACGGCGCCATCGACGCCGGCAGCACCGCAAACAGGCCCAAAGATACCCGACGCAGTCGGCGGGGGAGTGGCGGTGATACGCCGCCTGCTCCGGCCCACGAGAAAAGATCAAGTTTGCGTGAACGTTCGTACCTCAGCAAGTGAGCAGCCAATACCGTTGTGAGCAAGCAACACTGAGGCCCAACCATGGGAGGCTTCGTGGGTAAGTCTACACAGCGGAGACACCGTCCATGTTTTCGTGGTGCTTCACAGATCACGTCGAAAGAAAGCATATTCTTACGTTCAAAACCACTTAAACTCTCCATACTGATCCGTGTTAGCGCACCGAACTGGACTGGGAATTGTCCCCTCGGTTGCGTCCTTAATGGTTGGTAACCCTGACGACTAGCAGGAGATAATATGCAACCAGAGGCTGCGCAATTCGCACAGCGGGCACACTGAGGTGTGACGTAACGATGCTTGTTAGACGTAACGATGCTAACGAACACGACACTTGATACGCCGCACAGGCCCTGCGTCAGGAGGACCCTCCCCTGAACAAAACACACACTGCGACAGAACTGTGTAGACACGCTCCACATAAGCCAGCAGAGCACGCACGCCATTTGCCTTGGGAAGCTTGGCAGAAGCGTTGTGTTCACATTGCTGCTTGCTTTGCCCGCAGATTCGTCAGAACCATCATTGGATGTCCAAACTCGCAGAGTGAACGTCAGTGACGGGTCATCAGGGCAGACCCCTGCAGTGGGTGACGGCGAACGCGAAGTACCACTCAAGACGTACCGGAGGCGTTGGTACATTCTTCTGCTGTACTCGATACTCGGCTTCTCGCAGTGCGCCATATGGAACACATTCGGGCCAATCACTGACGCCGGACAGGCAGCTTTCCCTAACTGGAACAACACCATCATCTCAATGCTGAGCGACATGGTTGTCTATCCTTTGTCGTGTTCATGGCGCCCTACTTCTGGCTGCTTGACAAGTACGGTGTGCGGCCTGCCATTCTGACCATGGCCGGCACCATGGCACTGGGCACTGCTGTGCGCTGTGTATCATCTGAACAAGGCGTCTTCACGGCCACCGCCTTCATCGGAGCCATTCTTAACGGCATCGCCGGCATCATGGCCATGGCGGCGCCGCCCCACATCTCGGCGCTGTGGTTCCCGCCCGAGCAGCGCACCACGGCCACTGGCCTGCCCAACATCGCCAACCAGCTGGGCGGCAGCTGCGCCTTCCTCATCGGGCCGCTGATCGTGCGGCAGCCAGGGGGTGCCGACCCGGCCGCGGACTTAGACGCCGCCCGCAGCGATATCATGATTCTGATGTACGTGGAGGCGGGCATCACGGCCGCCCTGTTCCTGGCGGCGCTCGCGTACTACCCGTCTCGGCCGCCGCTGCCGCCATCCGCTAGCGCCGCCGCGCCCACCGCGTCGTTCTGGAGCGGGCTGCGGCAGGCCACGAAAGCTCCAGACCTGCCCTGGGTAGTAGCCGTGTACAGCATTTCGCAGGGCATCCAGGCAGCCTACTTCGGGGTCCTCAACATCAATGTTGGGCAGATAGGCGTCACGCAGGATCAAGCCGGCTGGCTAGGCTTCTGGACGGGCATCAGCTGCTGCCTATCGGCGCTGGTCGTGGCCCGCCTGACAGACATCTTCCGGGGCCACATGAAAGCCACCATCATTGGCCTCCTCACCTGTGCAGCCGCCTGCTTCGTTTGGCAGCTGGCGCTGATCGCCGAGTGGCTGCCCTTTTCACTGTCAATGCTCTACTGCTCGACGCTGCTGTCGATTTCGTTCACATATTCTACGTCGCCGCTCCTCCTCGAGTACGCCGCCGAGCTGAGCTACCCCGTGTCCACGGATGTCATCGGCGCCATCATGAGCTTCTGCTACGATTCGGTGGCGGTGCTCTATCTGCTGTTGTTCCTCATCAAGCCACTCAGTGAGAACACGCTGTGGCTCAACTATGTGTTGGTGCTGTCGTGCACGGTGCCGGCGATTCTGATGTTCAAAACCAAGGAAGTGTACCGGAGAACGAATACAGACCTGGGGCACATCAGCACTGACGCCGCCACTGGGACTGAACAGCAAGTTGGCAAAGATGGAGGTGTGCAGCCTTCGCAAGGGGGGCACATTTAGAAATATTTGAAGAAATGTAATGTAAGATGCCCGACAGCAAAGAGAAGGTAGCATCGCCAACGTATTAGACCCGTGATGACTGTGTCTGTTCGTTGTCTGCACCAGCTGCCGGTGAAGTATCCAACGGAATAAACTCTACCATACCTGGATCTGCCGTTCCACCCTCTCAAGCGACTAGACCTCTCTTAATGCGATTAAAAGACCTCATCATGAAAGACCTCACGCTCGTGACATCATCTCTAATGTGAAGAGCATCGCCATCTTAGCTCGGTGTGCCCAACTCTGTGAATACTTTCTCAGACAACCCCTATGGGGATTGCAGTAGAGAGCGTGATTCTGCTGACATGCGCAATAGACCGGGTTTTTAACTGCTGACAAACGAGCAAAGTTTAACACAGCCATGCCCCATCATTCCGAAATTATTCTGGAAAAACACCGGGAAGTGAGTCAGAAATTATTTCGGGAAAAACGGGAGGGAAGGGCAGTGACCCCGCTCAGGGGCCTACCAACTACTTACAGAGATATCTCATCACACCGATTGGCGAATGCTTGCTGAGTGGAATTGTTCGGTGCACCTCACGGTAAAAGAACAAGTGACGCCACTGAGAAGATGAGGTGAGCCGTGACCCGAGAGAGCCAGACCCGCATTGTTAAGGGTCACGCTTTCCGAGCCAATGACATGTACGACTTTTGCGTACATCAATGGTCACCAGTATCTCGATCTTAGTCATACAAACCCGGGATTGCGGCCATGGCCGAGAAATTTCCTGCACAATTTACTACAATTCAGATAATGTTAGCCACCCAAAAACACCATCGGTTTGTTCCAACTGGAGCAGGAAAACTGACCACTGGTCATGCTGTCCAACGAAGGTGGGTGATCCGTTCGGGCGATTCGGAAAGCCGGGACCAGTTTTAAAGCAATGAAGAAGGGGTGCAACTTATCATTCATCTTCACCAGTGTGCATCGGATATCCACTGGCTTCGGTAAAACCTACGTGTGTTGCATGCGGACTATTTTGCCGTTTGGCTTGGATAAAACCTACGTACGTTATGTGCCTACTTTTCTGCCATTGTCAGTCTGTGTAAAGATAGCCTGCTGAGCTCTGTCCTAGCTCGTTGTTTAATCCACCCGCATTAGCGCTATCACTTAATGTATTTAATAAGTTCTATAATCCACAAATATACTAGGTGGTCGCATTTCAGGTATTTTTGTTTGCGCTAAGGCGCCAAACGCATTTCAACGTCATGTCAAATGGTACAAATAACATCAGGGTACATACCCACATACCTACATATGTACATACATACATACATATATCTATATATGTTTATAGGTATATATATGCATATACGTGTATATATATGTGTATATAGATATATGTATATATATATATCTATATATATACATATGTTATATATATATACACATATATATATATATATATATATATATATATACCCCTAGCACCTATTTGTGAAGAAATCTAAGCAATTGCCAATGCATTAGATCCCCACGCCCGTTGGTGAATAGGTGTTTAATTCCGTCCGAAAGCCAAAATGAGTGAAAATAGTCATATTTTGACTATCTTCAGCATGGGTCATGTTCACAAAAGGGCCATGGGAAGCATATTCAGACACTTGAGCCTTCGGAAATTTCTTTTGTGTTGGAAATTGGCAAAGAAAAAGTGGTATCTGCGGAGCAAAAGGTTCAGAACCGACATCATGCGATGTTGAAATAATGACTGTTGACTTGGACTGTTGTCACGAGGTTCCTTGTTCCCACATTGATATGAGTGAGTTTTCTTTTTTAATCCCATTTTGCGAATCTTCGCGATCTCGAAAAAATAGACTGCTGTACTATGCAAAAATATGGCAGATCATATTAGTAGCAGATTTCTAACTACTTGCGTGATAGTTTTGCTCGTTACGACCTCGCTCGTGCCAGTCCTCGCGAGTCCAGACAAAGAGGAATTTTGTCAGTCCATAGTTTCTATTTTACAGTAGCAAGTACTCACCAACACGCACACAACGCCACAAAGTTCACAACCAACAGCAGCCTTGCGTCTTCAGATCTAGTGAGCGTATCAGCACTGAACGTACGTGGTAGCAAACCTTATATACTGCCTCCAACGGGAATGGTTCCTAGTCACATGTTTCGGAAATAATGTGATAATCAACCGATGTGATGCAAGTACGGGATCGTTCGATGACCGGCTAAACCAACCACAGAGTGTGGGACCGCCTTGCGATCCCAGAACTGTCTGATGCAACAGACGGCTGATGAGATGCCAAGGGCGACTTTAAGGGGAATTATCAAATACATTCCGGATGGGATGCATAGTTAAGGTTCCGACGGAACAGGTGGCATGTGTTCAACGATCTCTTTCCGAGGAGGGTAAAATGTATCCCATTGCTTTTATTCGCCCGAGATTTTTTGATTTTTCTGGGGATAATATACTTAAACATCCGGATGTTTTAGAAACCTCGGAAATTTTGCTGTCGTGAGGTATATCTTGGTAACAATATTTCATACATTATGATGGGTGCTGAGGCGCTAAGATCACATCGATATCAGTTTCGGTTACCAAAATGCTTCGCGGCAAATATCGTGACTTATACGTCAGAGAGAATTAATACTTTTCAGGTGGATTTACGCATCACCTAACCCTTGATTCCCATGTTTCAGTAGAATATGATACATGACCCTGTTAAATCGCCACGCTGGCGCTACGATGGGTGGGAGACCCCAGCAAGTCAACTATCGCCTTCGGAAACGCAGTCAGCGTTGCTTAGGCGTTAAACGCCGGCAACGTTATCAACGTTATTGCATTTGCAACGCCCGAAACTTCGATCGGATTTCACTGCCTTGCACAGCTTTCGAAGCGGGCTGAAGTACGAACTGCATGAACCTCGTCAGACACTCCGAATGTTTTGATGTCAGAAGAGGCGATGGGACATAATGGTCATGATACAGCCACTGGAGCAATGCCAGCAAACTTTGGACACGAGATAAATTGGCGAATAGTGCAGAGAACGTGGCATTCTGACATTCCTTTAGATGCGGTTCTCGGAACTGAATAATTGCAAAAACATTGTCAAACAACAAACAAACAAAAAAACGCCAAACGGATACTTTCTGGGCATGCAAGAATAACTGACTACTGCCGAATAGTGAACCCATTCCATGGCACCGCAAACATCTGAAGCTGTCGGGAAGAAACCCTAACGCAAACAAAGCCTTTCTGGCAGTTGCGGGAGCGGGCTGACATTTTGGAAGTACTTAATTGAATCTACCCCAGATGTACGAGAACGCCAACACAGATGACGGGTAAATGTCCTCTTAGGCGGGACGGCAGCATCACCTGTCACCCGAGGCTCCCGAACGAAACAAACCGGCGAACACTGCGGCAAAGCACGAATGACAATCACTTTTTTCCACCCCATCGACAGATAAGATCAGAGCTTGTTTTTAAACCGCCAAAAGCTGACGGGAGTCGCACTCAGCGCTGGGTGATGGCTTTATCTTTACGGCTGGCTAGCGATAGAGACCTGCTCGTCGCTGTCTGTTATTACAGTAGCCAAGTCATATACACGCTTGCCCTTCAAAGATGACAACATTCCTGAAAAGCGGGTCGTGGAATTAGGCCACGCGGACATCAGTCAAGCATTGCATAGCTAAAACCCGTCAAGTAGGACCTCTAATGTGACTTTTATGTCCCCACACATTTTCCCTTCACCGAGCCTCCATACCCTGGCGACATCGCTGTGTTCCTGACACGGTTGCGAGTAAAGCTAATTTACATCGTGCAAGCATTACATCGGCACTGAATACCAATCTAGGCGCAATACTGATAGCTGCTCGATGGTCACTTACTGATAGCTGCTCGACGGTCACATTACACGACGACCGGTAATATGCCAATATGTCATTGGAGCTTTGTGACGAACTCAGCTTACTTGCCTATCTCCTACGAAGAGGGGCAAGCACCGCAGGAGTCGTATCCCGTGCCTCTGGTTTTCCTCAGCGCGCAGCTCGACGACTGCGCCAACCACTCCAACCCCCAAGCCCTTTCCCCACCCTCGAGATAATCTGTGAGAGTCCCGTGCACGGCCATTACTGTCCCGCGAGCTGGACCAGTAAACGTCCAGAAGGACCTGTGGTCTGCAATCAGTGTACTTAAAGCGCAGATAAGTGTGGTACAAAACCATGATTTATTATTGCGGACGTAGGCAAATAAACGGCTTTACTCCTATCGGGGAAGTCCACAGCAAATCGTCAAGAGCGTCGAGGCGGGCACGTCGGAGGGCAGTCGGTAGGCGCCGGCACGCCAGTGCCGCGGGCACGTCGGGGGACGGCCGGTAGGCGCCGGTGCGCCAGTGCCGAAGGCACGGCGGAGGACGATCAGTAGGCGCCGGTGCGCCAGTGCCGAGGGCACGTCGGGGGACGGCCGGTAGGCACCGGTGCGCCAGTGGCGAGGGCACGTCGGGGGACGGCCGGTAGCCGCCGGTGCGCCAGTGCTGGGTGCGTTCGTCCCAGCCGAACCCGGTACGCACGGACGGCCCCGGGCGGAGATAAGCGGGCAGCGGCGCCGGCGGAGGGGCAGTGGCGCTACGTCACTGGTGCGAGACGAATCTGAGGTCGGCGGCTGTCCGCGACACCCTCCAACAGTCCAGGCGCCGCCGCCGGCAAGTAACGCTGCAGTCGAAATATGCCAGGATTCACAGGTAAGTCTCTATTACCGAGGCACTGCAATATTTTTTGACGTGCCTGCGGCAACAGGCGTACGAAGAGGTTAAACGACATGAGCCTTCTCTAACGTCCCTGTCTTTGTCTGCACGCCCCTGCACGTCCCTGTCGCTCCCTTTCTTTTGGTATGTGATGACGCATGACAGCCATGTGATGCCGCTGTGACCTGTTGGGCCGCTCTGACCTCTGTGGGCTGACACAACCAGACAATTAAAGGGCGTACTAGCCGATTCGCTTGCGCCTTCGGCTCCCACGTGAGGGGAGGGGCAATCCCTGCTTTCGCCATGGTCCTGACCACTCAATGACCATGGCACTCGCAGGCGCTCACAAAAGAAGGTCCGATGACGTGCGTCACGATCCCTCTAATGGATTAAAACCTGACAAACAGCACTGCGCTGATAGACAAGCACCCGTCATACAGCTAGTGTTGTACGCATACGAATAGGCCTCGCGCTGACGTCAGCAAGAACAAACCAGGTGCATGGTGCATCGCGCCGGCTCAGCGTCAGGAAATGTGTCGGCTAAACAGAGCATGCAAAAACAAATCAGTTAGCCAGTGTTAGACGCACTCGTCCCCCCCCCCCCCCCCCTCCCCCGAACCCTAGTGCAGAAACGCAGTTCACATGACGGGTTTGACAAACACGCGTTGTTGTTTTGTCGGCAGACCTGTCTGGACCACAGTCGGATGCTCAGAAAAGCACAGAAAATGGCCGCATTGAGTCATCGGGACGGACCCATGCCGCGGATACCATCGACAGGGCAGCAGCACTCAGGACGTACCGGAGACGCTGGTATATTCTTCTGGTGTACTCGGCGCTAAGCTTCTCCCAGTGCGCCATATGGAACACATTCGGGCCCATCACTAAAGCTGCACAGGCAGCCTTCCCCAAATGGAACAACACCATCATTTCGATGCTGGGCGACATGGCTTGTCTGGCCTTTGCAGTGTTCATGGCGCCCTACTGCTGGCTGCTTGACAAGTACGGCGTGCGGCCTGCCATTCTGACCATGGCCGGTGCCATGACGCTTGGCACGGCTGTCCGATGTGTATCATCTGAACAAGGCGTCTTCACGGCCACCGCCTTCACCGCCGCCATCCTTAACGGCATCGCCGGCATCATGGCCATGGCGGTGCCGCCCCATATCTCGGCGCTATGGTTCCCAACCGAGCAGCGGACCACGGCCACTGGCCTATCCAGCATCGCCAACCGGTTGGGGGGCAGCGGCGCCTTCCTCATCGGGCCGCTGATCGTGCGACAGCCGGACGGCGTCAACACTGACGCCACCAGGGATGACGTCATGACGTTAATGTACGTGGAGGCGGGGTTTCTGGCCGCCCTGTTCCTGGCGGCGCTCGCGTACTACCCGTCTCGGCCGCCGCTGCCGCCATCAGCTAGCGCCGCCGCGCCCACCGCGTCGTTCTGGAGCGGGCTGCGGCAGGCGGCGAAAGCTCCTGACCTGCCGTGGGTGGTAGCCGTGTACAGCCTCTCACTCGGCGTTCCGGCGGCCTACTTCGGAGTGCTGGATATCAATGTTGGGCAGATAGGCGTCACCCAAGACGAGGCCGGCTGGCTAGGCTTCTGGGCGGGCATAAGTTCTTCTCTGTCGGCGCTTGTCGTGGCCCGTCTGACAGACATGTTCCGGGGCCACATGAAAGCCACCATCATTGGCCTCCTCACCTGTGCAGCCGCCTGCTTTGTTTGGCAGCTGGCGCTGATCGCCGAGTGGCTGCCCTTTTCACTGTCAATGCTCTACTGCTCGACGCTGCTGTCGATTTCGTTCGCGTATTCTACGTCGCCGCTCCTCCTCGAGTACGCCGCCGAGCTGAGCTACCCCGTGTCCACGGACGTCATCGGCGCCATCATAAGCTTTTGCTTCAACCTGGTGTCTGCGCTCTATCTCGTCCTGTTTCTCATCAAGCCGCTCAGCGAGAATACGGTGTGGCTTAATTACATCCTGGTGTTCTCGTGCGCAATGCCAGTAGTTCTCATGATCAAAACGAAGGAAGTATACCGGCGCACAAACACAGACATGGGACTCGAAAATACTCAATCGGTTACTCCGACGGAACAGCAAGCTAGACCGGACAGGAGTGCAAGCCAGGAAACTAAGTTGACCAACAGGCAAAACGAGTGTTACGTCAACGACATAATTGAAACGTAAGGTTCGGCATTTTCACATCATTTACACATTATCTGAAAAATAAAGACGTCTCAAGGTCGACTCTGGTACTTCTGTCGCGCACGTCGCTGTCTTCGGCGACGAAAGGGAAGGGTGGCAGTAGTTGCCCTGTAGTTTTCTTCAGTTGACAACCCGAGCTCCCGTGCACTGCGACACAAGCGTAATCACCTGCACCTCAGGACTCGGGCTGTCAACCGGCTGGTTGCGGCTGAGTAGCCGGGACTAGCACTGCTACGTTGGTTGCGCTGGTCCGGTTTGAAACATCAGTGCCGGCATTGGGGTGTGCCGGCCCGGACTGACAGACAGGCAAACGCGTCCCGAGAGGGACCGATCACGAAGATTGTTTTTTTATGATTAGAGCCCTTTCGACCAGAAATGATCATTTCAGGGTCTTGGGATGAAGGAAAATGGTTAATGGTGGAGCACATTGGCATGTGCCTGGGGGGCCAACCGCCGGGCTTTAACCCGCGTATGCGCGCTGAGTACCCAGTCGGGGTTCCCCTTCCCACGGGGCTCTCGGCCCACCCGTGGCTGACGCATGCAGCCTGCCCCAGACAAGCGGGGTGTCGCGAGGATGCAGGATGAAGCGGGATAGAGGATAAGAGGGACAGATGTCTGATCACGAAGAATAAATAATACTGCGTTGTCTGGTTGCACACAATAGATTATCATCGACATGGCTCGGTTCGACTGCATCATTCGACAGCAGCCAACATCTGCCTAGTTATGTTAGTCAAAATGGAATAAGCGGCCAAACAATAGCTATACCAGCAATCGTTCTGTGGTAGGCATACCACTCATATTACCCAACATTAACAGTGCAGCGAAGCTATGGAGACACGCACAGTTATCACACGACGCACAATGTCACACACACACAACAGCACTCGTTAGCGCCACCTATTGGTGACCCGCAGGGCTAAGTGTTGACCTCGTGTCGCTACACTTCCAAAGCAGAAAACACAACGGTTTTCACGACGACCAACGTTCATGTGCGCTTGGTGACATGCTTGTGACCATGACAGTGTGCTCAGGAGTAAAAACAAGATATACGATAGTTTGGATCTCAGTTATTTTAGTGGCACCTTGAGTGTTTTCAAGGACGGAGGACCACATTGAAGACCACATGCTTCGTGACCAAGCCAATAAACAAGAAGGAAAACTGAGCAGGTACGCGTTCATAGCATCCATCCGACAAGACGCAAACACTCGGGATAGAACGTCTTATTTTTATTAGGGAACAGCTAAAGCTTGGTGCTTTGCCGCATCTCACAGAAGGTGTTCTCCAATGCAGACCCCCTGATTTTAACCGGTAAATATCTAGGACATTTTACGTTGTTTACGACTGTTTAGCAATGCCTGTCGCGCGACACGAAGATATCTAGGAACCTGAAAAACTTTAGATAAATTTAGACATACAACCCATTGAACACTCACAAGCCACTAGGATGAGAAAAAACATTTGGGGGCATTTAATCTTCCTGGAAAAACAGCAGTAAGAGTCTTTTTCCGCGGAGAAAAACCAGGAGAATGGAGATATGGGTGGGTGTATATTTAGACATCTGGAAACCTGAAAACGCCTTTAGATATATTCAGGCATATAACCCGTCGAACTCTCACAAGCCCCTAGGATGAGAAAAACATTTGAGGGCATCTTATCCGTCAGTAGAGAAAAACAGTAATAATAGCCTTATTCCGCGGAGAAAAACCAGCAAAACGGAGATATAGATGACTTGATATTTCAGCAATATCTCTTTTTCGAAGCAACAGCAGAATAATTCGCCCGCTTTTCTCCGAGGAAAGGCTATTAACACCGTGTTATCTATGTGACTAATGATCCTCATCAATGCACTGAACAACATACGTAATTTTGAGGCGAGTAGCAGCCTTCTGGGAAAAAAGATAATTCAAAACCAGTTATCTAGAATGCTAGAGGCTGCAGCCTCTAGAATGAGAGCCTAGAGCTCTCAGGCTAGAGTCTAGAGTCTACCGCCTAGTCCCTAGAATGAGAAAAACTTGGAAACATCCAACCTTCTAGAAATATACGTCATTCAAATCAAGCCATCTGGAACGTCGGAAACTAGAACAATCAGGCTTGTTGATTGAACTAACGGACTTCAGTGAGTCACGTGATTGGATACTTCCCAATATAAGTCATTCCTAACGCGTTACAACGCGCGCCTTACATCAGCCAGTTCCGGAGATTGCGAGGGACCTCGCTCTCTCCTTGTGTATTGGTTTAGTCTCTGGGCCCCTGATACCATGCCGTATAAGCCTCCCATTGGTGATCATGACGAAAGCCACATCATTACCGTACCGCATGGTCATGGCCGTTCTATTTAAATGAACTGTTTTTACGGGAGTTGTCTGTTGCTGAGTAGAGTCGCATTATCTAGAGACACACTGAAGCACCGCATTACTGCCGCACGCATGGACGTCGTTTGTGGACTGGGTGTTGGTGAGGGTGAGATACTCCCAGATAGAAGCTTTGGACTTAGAATGCTTATTTTGATTGACTCAAGAGAGGATTAACACAGGCGGCGTCGCCACTTGTCATCACGCCACGAAACAATACCAAAATGTCGACTTAAGCGGACCATGCGCGGCCCCTCACCACTTCTAGATGCTTATATATTTGCAATTGCAGTCGCACCTTCCTATAAGTTTTAGTAACAAGATGCGTAGTTTCACCAAAGGTGTGTTGTTTTGGACATTCGCTTACGAAGGTTATTTTCCGGTCATATTGCACGCGTAACGAAATATAGCATTTACCAATGCAATGACATGGGAAACGCAAATTTATGAGAAAAAATAAAAATAGCCAAAACCAAGTCCAGATTTTAACGATTAGGCGCGGCAGTGACACGGGACCATTCGATTCAGAAAGAAAAGAAAACGAACAATCGAATTGGCAAGAGTGTGCATCCGTTCACGTGCTGTCGTGCGCGGACCATGAATCCGCCCGTTCTGGCGATTTTTGAATGTCTGATCTTAGATCTTGGCAACCCGACAAGATGAAGTCGGTGGCTTTATCATGACGTAACCCGCAACACGTGCTTCATGAACACGATGCTGCGATGTCTCAGCGGCACCTGCACTTATTGCACCATTCAGCAATAAGTGGAACTTTGAGCCAGTACGTCATTAGATCATGTAATATGTCTCTGGCCTATTCCTACTATGTGAACACAGCAACAAAGTCAACATCAAAGCATCCAAGTAAACAATGTCTCCCAAAGCCAACGTGCGTTTCGGAAAGTCACCGTGCTAAGAGGGAGCGTTCCACACTTATATGGGATTTTTAACTGAAACAGCCATCTTGAAGATCTTTCGGTGCTGTTCACAATCCTGCCCTTCCTAAGACCTAAGCTCCTCTAGCTTCTAAGTCACACGCCAGCGAAAATGGGAAGAATATTCGGGCAGAGTATTTCAAAGTCACCTCCACACTCATGACGTCGTAATGACGTCATTGCAATCCTGCCATTTAATATGCCATGTAGCGATCAAGGCCAGGAAAAATGATTTTGTCGAGGTGTTCATATTTGGCGTTCGTGAGCACGATTTCCAGATGTAACGGCCGTCAACTGGCTCTCAATCAATGCGGTGCGAGGTACGATGACATAATCAAGCCATGACGCATTGAGGAGCATATTTACAAGGCAGAGAACTTTTCAGTCTGCAACCTTCTCTCCTACTTAAAAGTATACCAACAGTCATAAATGGGCGTGTTTCATCACATTTGTGCTTGCTCCAATATCTCAACATGTGAAACATTCCCTTTAACGCCACAGGGGAGAAATCAACAGCGCAGCATGACGCTTCGTAAAATTCGTGCGAAGATGGCCTCATATGCGCATTTCTTTTAAAAAAAACAGACTATTTCAAGCTCTCGCAGCGTTTATTGCGCCCACATTTCGGCCAGAGTAGTGCATTGTGTACGCAAAATGCACGCGTTGGAAAAAGCAAAGAATATCAAAAGCATTACCCTCATGGTGGTGTGTCCATAGTTTCCAGAGACAACTGGTACCACTGATCGAATCGGACGCGTCTCAAGAGGCTATGAGTTGAAAAGTACAAAAACGGTGGCATCCTCCCCAAAGAGGGGTTTTATCTATACACGGATAACTGTTATCTCGTTTTATGCCGATAACCCTTGTTTCACCCACCACGCGACGCGAAAAGCGTCTCATCGGTAATATTGCAATAACGGTATGGTACAAGGGGCATTGTGAACGAAGTGATAAAAAGTGCGTGATGCTTTAACAGCAAATAGGTAAAAATACTTATAGCGTGGTAAGGAATAGACGCTGTGCGAGCAAAGCCATCGTCGCACGCTGAAAAAAATCACTTTTGCCATGCTGCGCGATTTCAATCCAAATCCACTTGCGATTCAAGCAGCACGCCTTGGTAGTAGTTTGACAACATTAACACTTATTACTTTTAGGTATGAATATAACACGCAGTACCCACAATTGTCTTACTATGCATGACCCCCAACGTCATCGTCATTGGGGTTTTACGACACACCTAGCTGGTCAGGCTGTATGGCGACATCTACCTCTCGTCCTAGTAAGAATGGCACGCAACGGCAGGGAATCGAGCCCGTACCTCCGATTTCCGAAACAATTTCTACTATCTGGAGTCCTAGCAGGCACAACCTTTCGCATTGCTTTACATACTACGCCTAGTTTGGCAGGACACGGTTTTACATGTAATGCTTCGCTTGAACAGCATTCCATAAGCTTATTTGGTATTTAATTATACGCTGAACAAGGGGGAAACATCTCGCAGGAGTGTGATGACGATGACAATAATGATAATAATGATGACTGGAGTTTCAGGGCCCGCCGATGTTGGAACTCATTTTGCGCCCCGGGACTGTCAATTGCGTCCGCAAACATACAAAATGATTTTGCGTCATCACAAGCTAAAACTTGTTAAGCTTTAACATTTTGTTCAGTTTTATCCACTTAAGCCATTGCAAAAATGCAGGTAAT